ATGCGGCTTGAGACTCATGATTTAAATGGGGGTGGATGCCGGAGCCCTTCCCTCAAATTGCCCTTGTGACCCTTGTGGCTACTCCATGGCTCACCTGGCTGACTCCCTGCCCCCCCCCCCCTCTCTAGGTCTCCCTGTACAAGTCAGTGCCAACCCGCCTGCTCTCCCGTGCGTGGGGCCGGCTGAACAACGTGGAGCTGCCCACCTGGCTGCGGAAGCCCGTCCTGAGCCTCTACATCTGGACCTTTGGGGTGAACATGAAGGAGGCGGCCGTGGAGGACCTCCATCACTACCGGAACCTGAGTGAATTTTTCCGACGGAAGCTGAAACCCCAGGCGAGGCCCGTCTGCGACCGGCACAGCGTGGTCAGTTTCTGGGTCAGAGGGCAGCTGCTCTGCTTCCTCCTTTTCCATTTTTGGGTAGGGAGGTCCTAGGAAACCTCTTTAAATTTCAGTTAAATTTCAGTTGTTTTAATGCTGCTTCTGCGGGTAGGTTAATCACATCCATGTTGTTCTTATTGCATTTAATGAAAGTAAGGGCAAAATACTGTCAATTTAGAGTAACCATTGATACCGTTCGGTAGAAGTGGAAGAGAAAATAGCATCCAGCTTCTTTTTAACTCTTTCTCCTCTACAGATCAGTCCTTCGGATGGAAAGATCCTCAGTTTTGGGCAAGTGAAGAACTGTGAAGTGGAACAAGTCAAAGGCATCACTTATTCCCTCCAGTCCTTCCTGGGTCCCCATGCCAATCACGACAACTGCCAAAACGACCCAAGTAAGTCTTCCCTTTGAGCACCGGCCTCTTTCTTTCCAGACAGCCTGCTAGCGGGCGGAGGGGAGCCCTGCCCAACAGAGCAGCCCTCTCCCTTCCTGGACAGGGGTCATCAGGAAGACGAATTGCACCAAGACGAGGCAGCCAGCCTTCCCTCCCTCCCTCCCTCCCTGGAAGCATCAGGAGGAGTTAAGGAACCAGGTGCCCTTTGCGTCTGCACTGCCTCCCCCCCCCACTCTCAGCGGAAGGGGCAGCACTGGGGTCAAGAGACTGGCAACCCATGGGAGGCAGCCCTGTCTGTGCTGCGGGAGGAGGCCTTCTGATGAGGAGGCCCTGCAGCTCAGGACCAAGGAGAAGTGCCCTTAATTTCTCTGCTCCTCCTTTGCTCTGCTTGTCCTCCAAGGAGGCAAACTCCTTCTCCATCTTTCCCACGGGGTCGGTTGGACCGAGAGAAGGTCTTAGGCAGACCTTCGATCATTGCGTTGCCCCTCGCGGTCTGCTCTGTGGCCAAGGATGACCAGATCTCTCATCAGAAGATGTCGTGGTCTACAGGGTAGGTTTTTTTATTTTTTTTCCAAAAGTCAAATTTGCAGCGTTTGGTGCCCCAATGGCTGTTCGGCTCCTAACCCTCACACACAAGAAATAAGTGGGGTTCTCAGCCTGGTGGCTGTATATTTACTATTAATACATGCAGTGAAATGTGCACCTCCCACCGTTCTTGTGTTGGTTTCTGGATTTTCATCAGGAACGAATCTGGAACGAAAACTCAAGATCGGCATTCCAGCTTTGCTTCTCAATTTCTCCATGTCCTGAATGAGACCATATGCAGCGGTAAATGCTCTGGAAACCAAACTGTTGCCAAGAAAATGCTAGTTCCCCTCTCCAAGTCTCGAGGGACCTTTAGACGTACCTTGTTTTAAAACCGATGGCCGTTGCAGGTTCCCTCCTCCCCATCCAGTCGCCCCTTGGTCTTCTGGCTCCGGGCTGGGCTGGGCCCTCCTTTACTTGCAGGTGATGCCTGGAACAGCCGTTAGCTTTTGTCTGGAGCAGGTGAAGGAAGGAATGACTGGAGCTGCTGGATCAAGACCTGGGCAGCCTTGCACTTCTCTCTCAGAAAGGCCTTTCTCTCTCTTCTTCTGCTCTTTTCCAGCTTCCTGTTGCGAGTCCTTCCAAAAACAGCTGGTCACAAAGGACAGCAATGAGCTCTTCCATTGTGTGATATACCTGGCCCCTGGAGACTACCACTGCTTCCACTCCCCCACTGACTGGAAGGTCTCTCATCGGCGTCACTTCCCAGGTAGGCCTCCTTTCCACAGGTGGGAGAACTGACAGTGGCCCACAGACCTTCTCTCCCTTTCTCTTCACTAGCACCGGCACTAAAACCTATACAATATGTACCACCCCATAGTGCTTTACCGCCCCCTGTGCAGTTTAGAGAGTCAACCTCTTGCCCCCAATAATCTGGCTCCTCATATTACCCACCTCGGAAGGAGGGAAGGCTCCTTGAGCCAGCCAGGATCGAACTCCAGGCGGTGGGCAGTCAGCCTGCAATCCTGCATTCTAACCACTGTGCCGCCAGGGCAACGGGTTCCATGAATGTTCGGGACAATCCCTCTCTGGTAGACATTGTCTTTAATCTTCTGCTGAGCTACTTTCCAACATGGTTGGGGACATTAGAGTGCGTCAGAGGGGGCCCGGGGTGGTCTTCTGGCATCTCCCCTCCCACCCTCACAGTTCTGTTCCCAGCTTCCGGATAAGCCAAAGCAGAGGTGTGCTCTCTCCCCAGGTGCCCTGATGTCTGTGAACCCTGGCGTAGCACGTTGGATCAAAGAACTCTTCTGCCACAACGAGCGGGTCGTCCTGTCGGGCTACTGGAAACACGGCTTCTTCTCCTTGACAGCAGTGGGAGCTCAGAATGTGGGATCCATCCGCATTTACTGCGACCAGGTGAGGCACTGGTGGGTGGTGCGTGCAGCCCTCAGGTGTGGGTGAGGCCCGGCATCTCTGCCTACTGGCCTCAGAGGCACAAGGAGACCAGGCTCCAGAGTAGCTGGAGGGCCGCCAGGTGGTTGAGCGGGCAGCGGGGTGAGGGGGGGCAGCTTAAGTGGTTTGTGGACTCCGGAAGCTTCCACTCTTGGAAACACCTGAGTGGAGCCAAGGGTGGCAGGGCTTCCCCAGGAGTACCAGAGCCCCCTTCTGAGGCCCAGGCAGGACCGCCCCCCCCCCCTTGGGTTCCCCCTTCGGGCCCCCTCGCCCACCTTCAGCGCAGAGAGCGACTTCAGGCAACGGGCGAGGAGTGAACGTGGCTTCCTGCGTCTTGCTCACCTGCCAGGTAAACCGCCTTTCCCGCTCCTTTCTCCTCTCTTGGCAGAAGCTGCAGACCAACAGCCCTCGCTACAGCAAAGGCTCATTCAACGACTTCAGCTTTGTAACCGGCAAGGACCACGAAGGAATTCCCATGAGGAAAGGAGAACATTTAGGCGAATTCAACTTGGGCTCAACAATTGTTCTGATCTTTGAGGCGCCCAAAGATTTTAACTTCTACTTGAAGCCTGGCCAGAAAATCCGCTTTGGGGAAGCTTTGGGGTCTCTCTGAGGCCTGGGAGGTCCAAGGGGAGGGGCTTTTCTATGGACAGGGACTCCATTCACACAAGGAAGCCGATCAGTATGGTGGAGTATTGCTCAGCGGGACCTGAGTGAAGGGAACGAGTCCTTCGTCTCCGCTCGGGGGGTGCCGGGCCAGTCTCACCGTGAGGGATTGACCGGGGACCGTGGCCCTTAAGAACGCGGCTCGGGTGGTTTTCCTTCCCTCTGGGCTCTGGAACGGCGGCAGCTTCTTCCCCCGGCTCCACCTGCAGCAGCAGCCGCAGCAGCAGCAGCCGCCTGCCTCTGCGCTGCTCCTCCAGCTCTGCACTGAGATGCCCTAAGCTCTGCAGTCCAGAGGAAGAGGAAAGGCAGGGACAGGACGCAACCGGCTTCATTAAATCCACCAATTTTTCAGTCCAATCCCAGAGAAGGGAGAGGGCTAATCAGAAAGAAAATGCAGCTTGAAATCCGATTTTAAGAAACACGCCAAAAACCTAATTCTCTCCCTTTAAAGCAGAGGTTTGCGCTGTCTCTTCCGTGGTGCTCAGCGTTTCACTTGGTGTGGCTTTGGATTGGAGGAGCCCAGTTGGCCTCTTCCTCTAGCTTACTCCAACTCCCAAAACTGTCTTGCTGTGCTGGGCCTTCACTTTTTCTGTGTTGCACAAGGGAGGGGATATCAGATTGCCTCTCTTGAACCTGGCTTGCCAAAACACACACCAGTCCAAGGGATCAGAGTTTGCTTCTCTTCCCTCTGTGCGGGGAAGTGGACTCTGCCCGCCACCCCTTCAAACACCCCACTGGGAATGTGAAAGAATTCTCATCTCTTCTCCTCTGCGTTAGCTTCTAACTCTCTGCTGGCGCTATCCAAGGATGAGGCTGAGGAGGAATGTGAATTGATCACAATAAATTCTCTTAATTTATAGGTTTCAGACTTTGGGATTATGTCACACACCCCAAAATTCTCTCTTCTTTTTTAATGGCCAGTAGTTTTAGGAGACAACCAGGTTGTAGCTAAACGTAGAACAGGACATGATCAGACCTGTGTCCTGCGTGAGAGACGCGGCTTTATCTATGATGAGGGCCTTTTCCTGTGGCCGTGAGGGATGAAAGGCAGAACGGGGTCCTCCGGGATGGCTGGTCCCTTCCTTCCCCAAATGCAGAAGTGAAATCCTGAACCAGGAAACAGCCCTTTAAACCCTCCAACATCGTTCTGTGCTCTGCTGCCATTTTAAGGCCCAAGGAGGCCGCTAGGAGACACGCGACCGACAGCCGGGCCTTGCTCTCTCGGTGAAGAGGAAGTGCTTCCTTCTCTTTGCTTGCATTGCAGTAAGACTCGGACTGAGCCTCCCGTGTTCTTGCTGCTCTGGTTCTGCTGCAGAGGAGCCCCTTCGGTTGGCCTCGGTCAGGTGGTGGTTCTGGTCCAGGTCCGGTGGAGCTGTGGGCTCAGGGGGTCACCCAAACCCTAAACGGATGGGAGTGGGTTTCTTGGTGACGCTGTGAAATTTCTCCAACATGGAGAATCCTTTTATTTTTCAACTGTATCAGTAGCACAGTATTTTTGTATGTCAAAATGTACAACTTAAAAGACATTAACTCATTAATGGCAAATGTTTTAAAGTAAAAATAAGAACTGACCGTGCTGTGACTTTTAATGTGTTTTAATTTTGGAAAATGCTCTACAAGATGCGTTTGTAAAAGCAAGCCCCCTCTTTCTTTCTTTCTTTCTTTCTTTCTTTCCTGGGGTGGTTCAGTTGGAGGGTCCTCTGAGGGCCTATCTAAGCCGATGATGTGGGCGCAGCTTCTCTGGCCAGGCAGAAGGAAAGACAGAGAGCCAGTCCTCTGCTGCGCAGTCCCCTAGACGGGGGGTGGAGGTGCCATTGTCCAGGTCTTCAGAGCAGCTCTGATGTCCTGGATGCAGCTCGCATATTTCTGCATCAGCTGCCGCTCTTCTTCCAACGTGCTTACAAGGGAGGCCATCTGCACCTTCAGCTGCAACCAAAACCAAACCAAACCCAGAAACGTGAGGAACCATGTGGGTGAGGGACAGCCTGATTCAGCCACGGAGAGATGGCATGCTGTCCCTTTCTCAAACTGTTGCTAGCCTTCTGGATCCTAAACACGTTTCCCACAAGCAACCGCCAACTCTCGCATCCTGGCTTCCGCTTACAGTCGCTCCTCCGTCCCCTGAACTGCCAGATCAATTCCAAGGGTATTTCTCAGAGGAATGTGGGCGAAACAAGAGCAACTTCATTTACCCCAAGCAGATTCCCAAGCAAACTGTGGGGCTTAGGAGTGTCATGTCTCTGCCAAAAGAAGAGTATGATTTTGGGGTTAAGGGAAGCCTATAAGGGAAAGCCATTGTCCCCTTCTCCTTTGCCTTCATCGAGACCTGCTGGGAATATTCCTCCAGTTCTGGAGAGACAGGCACACTGGGGCAAGTTCAGACGGTGAAGGGCCCACAACCCAAGACCTGCACAGTGGGAGAAGTTGAAGGAGGTGTGTTTCATCTACAGAAGACCAGATAGGACAGCAATCTTTAAATGGCTGAAGAGACCACGCAGGGAGGGCAGTGGGCTATTCTCTCGCCCTCTGCCACCTCTGGTAGGACAAGAACCGGGTTAATGTTGCAAGGAAGGAGGCTCAGGCTAGACATCGGGAGAAACTCTGGACTGTGTGGGCTGACAAGGAGCCAGATGAAGGAAGCCTGAGCTCTTTTTTGATGGAGGCCTTGAAATGGGGCGAATGGCCCTCTGCCTGAGGCTCCAGGGAATCCCTGACATAGAAGGGTTGGACTAGCCCAGAGGTCTCCAACCTTGGCAACTTTAAGACTTGTGGACTTCAACTCCCAGAATTCTCCAGCCAG